GTCGAAAACGGGAGCAGCGCTGCTGGATTTGAAAACAGCAATCAGTGTTTGGTGCGTGGCATTGGTTGAGATCGCCCAGGCAGTTTCCTCTTGAAGCACGTTCAAACTTGAAGGTTGTCGGGGCACTTAGGACTTTGCTTGTGCGATGGATGCTGGAGTTGGTTTGGCGTTCCTTTAGAATATGTAAGAGCTAAGATAAAATCCAGACGTTTATAATGGCCCCTAATATTTTGGCCGCATTTACTGGTGAGTGGAAGTAGAAGGTTCATGTTCAAATGAAATGTTTATTCCCGCATCCTTGCTGCTGCCTTACTCATGTTAGTGACTCAGAAAGATAAGACTGCTGCACAGTTACACCAGTATGGTTGTGTTAACATTTGGGGATGAGGCTAGTTAAGAAAATAAGGGTGGAACAATAATTATGAAACAGAGTGGAAGATTCTAGCTAGGAGTCGAAGGACATTCTAGGATTGAAAAAAAAAAAACAACAACATAAAAAACCACCTCGAAAGGTAATTCATCTCAGAACCTAGAGTTCGAAGCTTGAAATCCAAAAGATATTGCTTTAGAGATAAAATGGTTGAGTTTGCCAGATATCATAACTGAAATATTAAACTTCATTTTCATTGATGGTTTGAAGTAGAGTGTACTCACTAAAACGGAGTACAAAAGCCCTGTTGAACCATTATTAAATCTGCACAAAGGAAAATGGAAAATTAATTTGGATTTCAGTGAGTATTTCTTGTAATTGGCATTTTCAGCGCATCCTCAATGTGGCTCACATACTAAAAGTAAGAAATGAATCTGCTGCCATACATGGTGCTAAAAGTACCAGTAATGGTTAAAAAAAAAAAGGAATAGATTTATTTCCTTAAGTTTTTGTAGAAAACAAAACAAAAAAATACTGTTTTATTAGTTTTTGAAATATTCTGATTTTAAACATCTATAAAGTTAGTTATTGTAAATGTTCCTTGCCATCAATATCAACATGCTGATATTTCAGCTTGTCAACTTTTTCTTACAAGTTACATGAATTCCAGATGGGAAAATATGTGATGCATAGGACTGTTTCACTGGAGATTTTTTGGGGGGGAGGGGTTAGGAAATAACCTAGAATTTTGGTAACTAAAATATTATATCTCCCCCAAAACATCTTTTAAGAATTATAGTTTTTATTGGATTAAAATACAGTGGTAGAGAGTCACATACAGCCTATGGTAAATTGGAGGGGAAGAAGAGCCAGGCAGAAGTAGAGGGAAGATAGAAATTGCAATCTTAATATTTTCAGCCTTTCTGTTAGAGAGAGAGAGAGAGAGAGAGAGACTTGAAGTATAATGAAAATCAGAGTAGGAAGTAGGAGGACTGGGTTTTAATTTTGGCTCTTGGTTTTTCACTGAATTAATTTAGTAACTGGGTAAGTCAACTTGGCTTTCTATTTTTAACTTTTCCACAAAATTAAGAGGTTGTATTCATTGAGTTCTAAGGCCATTTTCCCATTTTATCATAAGTAAGTATTTTATCAATTCAAAAGCTTGTTATTTAAATTCCTTTGATAGTTCTCTAGTGACAGATTTTAGGACACTGTCTTGGTCCACATTTTTGTCCAAAATTTGGATGAAAAGAGTTTACATCCATCTGTATTTAGTTAGCCAGCATTGGTTAGGTGGCTAGTGTGTGCTAGGCATAGTATTCTAACTGCTTTTACATATGTTTTCTCATAACCATCTATTTAGTGACATATCCCCCGTGTTTAGAATAGTGCCGAGCACAAACTACATACTTGTTTGATAAATATTTATTGAGTAAATGAATTAAAAACCGAGTGATGTAAGTCTTGTTGGGGCATCTTCTTTTTTATACACTGTATTCTATCCCCTCTGGCCTAGGCCTCAACAGTAATCTCCCTTGCATCTTCCATTTCTCGTTCTCTCATTGATACATCATCACTGGTGTTAAAAGCTGCTGTATTTTTGTTCATCGTAAGACAACAAACTTGATCCACATTCCTTTCTGGATACCCACCTGTTTTTCTGTTCCTTTTTGCAACAGTAATTCTCTGAAGAGTTGTCCGTATTTGCTATTTCCAATTCATTCCCTCCCATTCTTTCTTGAACTTTCTCCACCTGACTTTTATCCCCACTCTATCAAAACCGGTCTTATCAGGGCTTGTCGGTGCCTCTGGGTTGTAAAATCCAAGGATCAATGATCTTTATCTTACTTGACCTCCGAGTGTCCCATGAAACAGCTGAGGACTCCTTTCCTGAAACACTTTCTTACCTTGACGTCCAAGATGCCACGCCCGGAAGGAGAATGCTGGTTCCTCATTGGCTTCCCAGCTTCTAAAATGTTGAATGCCCCAAGGCTCAGTCTTGGAAACTTTTTTATTTTATATTCACTCCCTAAAGGGACCTTCTTTAGTTGTACGGTTTTCAATACTGGTCTATATGTCACCGAATCTCGGGTATACTTCTTTAGCCCTGACCTTCCTGCTAAACTCTGCTTGTGTCCAGCTGCCTTCTGACCATCTCCACGTGGATGTCCAGTAGAATCTTAACGTGTTCAGACCTGAATTCCTGATGGCCAGGAATTCCTGGGGTGTCTAAACCTGTTCTCTGGCAAGTCCATCCTCTCACAAGCAGGCTAACGATGATGATGATGATGAGAGTAACACTTGTTTAGTGCCTTTATGGTGGGAGGCACTCTTCTGAGCTTTTTTCACGACAGTCTCATTAGGAAGGTACTGTTGTTATTCTCATTTTATAGAGGGAGAAACTGATGTTACATAACTTGTCTGGGTCACACAGTAAGTGGCAGAGCCTCCCAGGATACAAACCCATGTTGCCTGGACACCGTGAGGCCATATCGGACTTCTCTCGCTCACGTTCTACATGCATTCACCAGCATATACTGTTGGCTTTATCCTCAGAATACATCCAGAAGCTGATCATGTCTTACAGCCCGCACGCTGGCACACCTGTTCATCACTCATCTCAGTGACTGCAATAACTTCCTGTTTGCTCCCTGTGCAATGTATTCTCAACACAGCAGTCATTAGAACCCACCCTTCTGGTGCCTTTTCCATCTCACTTAGGTGAAAGCTGGCCCACAGAGTTCTGCAGTGCTCCCCACTTCTGACTGCCCCACCCCCCGACCCGCCCCTCTTCCTCAACCCAACTGCTTTGCTGACCCCTCCAAGTGCACATCCTTTGTACTCACCGTTCTTTCAGCTGGAATTCTCTTCCAAATGCCCGCACGGTTTGCTTCCTCACGTCCTCAGGTCTTTGCTCAAACATCCTTTTAGAGAAGCCTTCCCAGACCACGCTGTATAACGTAGCAGCCTTCTCCTTACCCCCTTGCCTGAGGGATGTTGTCTCCATGGCGTCTCCATCATCTAATGTAGTATATCTAAGTCCTACTGTTATCCCAGTTTTATAGATCTTAGCAAACCCGGGCGCAGGTGGGTTACTCTACCTGCTCCGCTCCATATTGGATAAGCAGAGTCAGTCACAGGGCGTGACCCGAGTGGTGAAAGGTTACGGAACCAGGTCCCAGGAGTGGATGAAAGGACTAATAAGGATTCTGACTAGAAAAGAGGATTTTGTAGCTTTGTGATAGCTGTCCTAAAACTTAAGAGTTTGTCTAATGGAAGAGTTTCAATGGTACAGAACTAGGTCTATGGGGAAAATTCCAGGGAAGTAAGTGTAAGGAAGGTCTTTTTAGCATTTCGATGAACGGTTCTGATGGTGGAAAGGGCACCTTTTGAGTTTTCTGTTCTGGAAGGTTTTAAATCAAAATCTGGGTTGATCATTTTTGGAGGAGGTCGTTGCGTGCAGCACTTGGACGCTGTTAGCAGACGGCAGGATCCTGTGAGGGGTCCGCATAGCCTCTGTCCCTGGGTGTCTGCCTCTGCACTGTCCCTCTCCCCTCTACTGTGTGTGTAATAAATCAGAACATAACTATGGACAAGAGGTATAGTTCTTTTACCAATTTGGGTGGGGCGAGGTACTAAAGAAGGTTTTAAAACCACAAGATTTTACAATCCTATTAAAAATTGGAAATGAAACTAGATTTTTTTTTTAAAGATTTTTTGACGTGGACCATTTTTAAAGTCTTTATTGAATTTGTAACAATATTGCTTCTGTTTTATGTTTTGGTGTTTTGGCTGCCAGGCATGTGGGATCTTAGCTCCCTGACCAGGGATTGAACCTGCACCCCCTGCTTTAGTAGGCGAAGTCTTAACCACTGGACCGCCAGGGAAGTCCTGAGACTAGATTATTGGGACAATTGTATGAAGCAGTAAGGGTCAGATCACCAAAATGATTGGTTTTCAGGCCTGGGAAGAGCTTCTTTTAACATATTTGAGAGGCTATCATAAATTTTAATGTATTACTATTTGAAAGCTCTTTCTGTTGATATGTAATTCATCGTAATATTCACCATTTAAAAATGTGCAACTCAGTGGTTTTTAGTATATTCACAAGGTCGTACAACCATCACTACCATCCAATTCCGGAACATTTTCATTATCCCCAGAAGGCACCTCTGTTTCCATTGGGAGTCACTTCTCATTGCCCCCAGCCCCAGCCTCTGGCAGCCACTAACCTTTCTGTCTGTGTGGATTAGCCTGTGCTGGGTATTTCATGTAAATGGAATCATACAAGGTGTGGCCTTCAGTATCTGACTTTTTTTTACTTAGTATAATGTTTTCAGGGTTCATGCATATTGCAGTATGAACTAGTACTTCATTTCTTTTTGTGCCTGAATAATATTCTGTTTTCTGGGTATAGCATATTTTTATCCATCCGTGGATGGGCATTTGGGTTGTCCATTTCTTGGCTATTATGAATAATGCTGCTGTCAACACTTGTATGCAGATATCTGTGTGAATATATGTTTTCAGTTCTCTTGGGTGTATACCTAGGACTAGAATTACTGGGTCAAATGGTAACTCCGTGTTTAGCTTTTTGAGGACTGATTTCCATGGTGACTGCACCATTTTATATTCCCAGCAGCAATGTATGAAGGTTCTAATTTCTCCATATTATCAACAACACTTGTTATTTTCCTTTTTTTTTTTTGAATAGAGCCATCCTTGTGAGGAAAGCTCTCATTTTAAAAAGTAGTAAGTTTTGCTCTGTTGCACACTAAATGATCAAACACTGGTAAATTTTAGCAGTTTGCCTCTTTAGATGGATTGATTAAAATGCGATGTAAGTAAAACACAGGTTGTGGGCTTAATGTGTGCTGTGTCCACCTTCTGTTACCGTAACAGGCCCAGGTTTCTCACAGATAAATGCTATTGGTTACAAGGAAACTGGACTAAATCCTCTAACGCTGGAAGAACAAGTCAATTCTGTGCCCTGCTAACATGCTAGTTATCAGCAAGATAATCTTGGCTTCAAGACAACATGTAATTGCTCTTGTACATCTGTCTCTCCCTCTCCCTCCATCCCTTTCTTTCATTTTTTCATTTCCTGCCTCATCCTCAAAGGACTTGAGATGATTTTCATTAAGTTTATATGGTATGGAATAATGATAAAATATCTCTAAGGGTAGAATCAGAAGCAGAGAAAATAGTGATGGAAGCAGGAAATCTTCTGTAGGAGAACATGATCATGAGGCTGATGCAACCGCACCATCGAATATCATGTCTGACCATCAGCTCGTTATCTGGCAATGACTAAAAAGAGACAGAGTCTGTTACACATCTTAACTTCATACTTTTTCTCTGAAGAAGCGAAGTTTCTAGAGCTGTGAATTTAAAAAGTGTCTCAGGTGGGGCTTTATAGTGTGGAACTAAAACAGTATATAGAGGTGTCCTCACTAAAAGCACTGGTAGTGTGAGTATAATTTTTAATTGTGATACACTAGTATAGGGCTGTAAGCATAATTGTCACACATTGGTGAAAGTGTCTTGCCATTTATTTTATGGAAATTCTATCTCTGGGTATTAATGATTATCTTTTTTAAAATCATTTTTCTTCCTTTTATATACTGTGTTTTTCAGAATACAGACATTGAAGCTTGGGACAAGATATTTATCTAATTTCTGGTAAGTTAAGTGAATGGTTTAGAGAGTGACATAGAATAATTGCATGCTGTATTTTTTTTTTTTTTTTTTTTTTGCGCTACGTGGGCCTCTTACAGTTGTGGCCTCTCCCGTTGCGGAGCACAGGCTCCGGATGCGCAGGCTCAGCGGCCATGGCTCACGGGCCCAGCCGCTCCGCGGCATGTGGGATCTTCCCAGACCAGGGCACGAACCCTTGTCCCCTGCATCGGCAGGCGGACTCTCAACCACTGCGCCACCAGGGAAGCCCCATGCTGTATTCTTTCAATCATTTAAGATACAAGAGAAATTTTAGTGACTATAAGATAAAAATGACACTGACAAATTTGTATTATTGTATAATGTCAGAGGAACAGAGAGCTTTTCTATAAACTTGCTTGGAAAAGGTAATATCTAAAAATGTATGTCATCATTTCCTAAGAATTAGGTTACTTTTATTGAATCAGATATTGATGTTTTCTTCTATGAAGAATAGTTATCTCAACATAACCTAGTTTAAGATACAAACGTTCAGTATGATCCATTAAGATATAAGTCAAATTATTAAGATCAATCTGAAATTTCATTCATCAGCTTTATTTTCCTCTGGTAATTGTAGCTTGTGAGTTATTTCAATAGCTAAACCCAACACTCTTCACAAATGAAACCCATTTTCACATTTAAATCTGCAACAAAGTTAACTTGTTAACAATCTCATTTTTGGTATTAAGAAAGGACTACACAGTATTCATGTAGGCTAAAACATTTAACATTTCAGCTGTGAAGAGAATAACTTTGGATTATTTTTTCCCTTTTAGTGGCTAAATTAAAGACCTGCCATGATGTCGAAGAAAGAGACTGAATTTGTCATTTTCACCTAAAGAAAAATGATAGACAAAAATCAAACCTGTGGGACAGGACAGGATTCCATGCCCTCCATGACTTGTCTGATCCACGTACTTGAAGAATGGTTTGGTGTGGAGCAACTGGAGGACTACTGGAATTTTGCAAACTATCTCTTGTGGGTTTTTACACCACTCATACTTTTAATACTTCCTTACTTTACTATCTTTCTTCTCTACCTTACTATTATTTTCTTACACATTTATAAGAGGAAGAATGTATTAAAAGAAGCTTACTCTCATAATTTATGGGACGGTGCCAGGAAGACGGTGGCAACGCTGTGGGATGGACACGCGGCCGTCTGGCACGGTAAGCGAGATTACTTTGAGTTTTGGGCTCCTTTTCGTGTGGGTGGCGCTGAAACCGTGTTACCCTTTCATTTTGTTGATTGAGGAAATATTGAAAAATATAATGGAAGGGATAGTTACTATTTCCTGTTACCTGTTTGCATGCATTGTGCATATATATGTCTTTCTTAAAATGATTTTTTCTCAGCACACTAGTTTCCATTAAACAAAGAACCACGTAATAATGTAGACTATTACTCTAAGCTCAAATAAAAAATTAATAGTTAAGAATCTAAGAGAGTAAGAGATGAATTAAAACAGTATAGAAAACTGTTTTGAAATTGCTTTATTTTGCGTTTACTTCCATTTTGTTCAAAATAAGTTTGACTTCCCCAGTGTAGAGATTTTTAAAAAATGAAAAATAATATTAAATAGTAATAACATTAAATTAGATATAATATATATACCAAAATGTACCCGTTTTCCGTTTGCTGTGTGACTTATTCAGCTGACATGTTGTCATTTTAATCCTACATATGCCTGCAAATCTTTTTGAGCACTTGACTGTCCATTACAGTCAAATGCTTAACGTGCATCAGTTCTTATAATTCTTATAATGCTGTAGAGAGAGTCCACGTGTTATCTCCATTTTACAGTTTTCCCATAAGGAAACTGAAGAACAGCGAGGTTGTTAGGTGCCCGAGGCACGCCAGGACACCAGGGAGAAGGGCCAGGATGCAGCCTCTGACTCCTGGTTCCAGGCCTGTGCTCCTCTGATCTGTGCTGTGCCGCAGGCTTGTCCCTGGTTGGGCTCAGGGTCAGAGTGTAGCGGTCGACAGACAGCAGCTTTGCAAACAGGAACCACATGCCGTCGATGTGTTGAATTCTTAGTATTTACCCATGAATACGAATGCCCTTGCCAGTCCGTACAACTCTCACACCTGCTCGTGGTTGTTCACCGGAGGTGGGATGCTGTTTCAGCATTCCGTGACCAGAGACCGTGCCTATGTGGACTGCTCTCGTTCATTGTCTTTAAAGCAGTGAGACAGAAATTCAGTGGCCTGGTTTACAGTACTCGGGAAACGATGTCCCCCTCCCACTTATAACCCTCTATACTTCAGGGTAATATATATTGTAAGGAATTTGAATTTTTTTCCGTTTTGGGAGACATGATTTAATGTGGATAAATTCAAGTGTTAAACTTATTTTGTAGGAGCATATATAATTTTGAGGTATTTATTATTTATTTTCCTGAGGTATTTAAAAATATGCACCTGTGGCTCAGAGGAAGTAAAATATATAGTTCTTACCATGTTTTAATGTTTTATTTATAATAATTTAACGTATTTTAGTAAGATAAGTGATGCTCTCTAAAATGATTTTCCTCACTCTGCTCCTTAGTGACGCACAAAGGCGTCTGTGTGCGTATTTGGATTTCGTATTGATGTCAAATCAGTTTTAATTTATGCTTTGTAAAGAGTCTTCAGAGGAATTTTTTAACTAATAAAAATGTTCATTTTAGAAAATGTGGCGAGTAAAAATAAAGAAGAAAATAATAGTCACCTAAAATTTACCGTGCAGTTGGATTCTGTGTGTTTATTGTTTTTTATTTGTGTGGCAGACTAGTATTTTCATGTCACTGAGCCTCCTTACATGACTTATAACGACTATATGGACTCTGTAAATCCTATAACTAATTTACTTACCTATTGAGCTGTTGTTTGTTTATAACTGGTTTACTGTAAGTATCTTTGTATAAGAATCTATCCAGTGTTTCCTGTTTTGAAGTTAAATTTTACCCTCTAGTGTATATTATGTAAGTGCTTTATCATTTTTCAAAAAAATCTGATTCTCCTACATCAAGAAACATGAATTTGGTATTTCTTAGATACCTGCATTTCTAGGTAGTCTGTCAGTGAAGCCCCTACCCTCAAGTTGCTTACAGCCTTTAAACTATAAAAATTTTGACTTTTTTACTTCACATTTTACTATTAATTTTTAAAGAAATGGACATATTTTATTCAGTAAAAGCGTCCTATAAATTAAACCATGTGTAGTAGAGTTTTTTATGGGAAAATTAAATTGGGATTTCAGGAGAACATTCCCGCTGTCCTTCAGTTGGGTAAGAGTTTCCTTTCCCCTCCTCTGTCTTTCCCCCAGGGAAGGACTCCTGGGTCCGACTCCTGAGTTCGAACGAGGCCCTGCCAGTCACCGCAGGGGGACCTTGGACAGGTTACCTGATTTCTTCTCCCCTCCCTTCTCCCTCTTCCTCCTCCTCCCTTCCTTTTGCAACAATTAGGATTTTTTTAAACTTCATTTTAAAAAAATTTAGAATTACAGAAAAGTTGCAAAAATAGTGCAGAGTTCCTATTTTTCACTCGGCTTCCCCTGATGTTAACATCTACATAACCGTTTGTATAGTTATCAGATTAACAGTGGTATAATACTATCAACCAAACTACAGATTTTATTCACATCTTACCAGTTTCCCTGCCAGTGTCCTTTTACCAGGATCCCATCCTGCATTTGGTTGTCACGTCTCCTCCAATCTCTGAGGGTTTTTTAGTCTTTTATGACCTTCAAACTTCTGAAGAGTACTGCTCAGTGATTTTGTAGACTGTCTCTTAATTTAGAGCTGATGTTTTCCATAAATTGATTGAAGTTGTGCATTTTTGATAAGAATCCCTCTGATGGTGGGTCCTTCTCAGCACATTGTATCCGAGGTTCATGATGTTGACACGTTTTATTATTGGTGATGGTGACTTTGATCACGTGGTTAAGGAGGTGTCTGTTAGGTTTCTCCACCACAAAGTTGCTATTTTTTACTTTGTAATTGATAGATGTCTTGGGAGAACTCCTTTAAGACTATGTAAATAACCCTTCTCTTCAAACAAGATACTTAACTTTTCTGGACTTCATTTCCCTCTTCTGTAAAATGGGTTGTTGGAAGGATTCACTGGGCCTTGATGTAAAGTACTTAGAATAATTTTTATTACATAATAAAAGTTCAACAAATGTTAGCTATCACCATTACAGAGCATCTTTCTCCAATAATTTGGAAAGCACTAAAATACATCACTTGTTTCTTGGTCACTATTAAGTTCAACTTCACACACCTACTATGTTCAAGATTCCTAGTATTTTCAAGGTATATTTTCAGGCTATCAAAGTTTTGATTCTTATTGCTAGCAAGAAATGCATTTTGCCACCCAGTATATACATACAGGTATATACTATTTCATCAAAAGTGTATATACTGTCTTCATGCAATCTGCTCTATTTTCTATTCTACTCTCTCTTATTTAAAAAGAAAAATGCTGACTATAACTGACTAAAGTGATTGCATAACTCAATGAGTGATGGCAACCAGCATTTGAAAATCACAGGTGCAGGTTAGCACGGGCACACCTCTAGTAGGAGGTGTGGTGTGGGGAAGGGCACAGGTCGTGGAGTCAGATGCATGTGGGCTTGCGTCCTGGCGGTACCACTGTGTGACCTCAAGTAAGTTACATGGGCTTTTCTTACTTGGGTTTTCTCATCAGTGCAGGGATTCTGTGAGGACCAAATGAGATAGTTATTACGGATCCAATACAGTGCCTGTCAGGTGAATGCTCAATAAATGTTCATTCTTGTTTCTATGGGACAAAAGTGAAAGCACTATTCATGGAGAAAGTAACTTTTGAACAAGGCTTTGAAGAATGAGTGGGAAAGAAATTGAGTAACTATTTCACACCATTTTGTTTAAAAATTAAATAGACAGTTTTGCAGGAAAAGAGAAATGATCAAAATTGGTTCAAGAAGGAGAGAGAAACAGAACAGATCAGTAATCATGAAATAAATTGGAACAGTGGTCAAAGTCTGTATCCTCCTCCCTTCACAAAGGGCCGAGAGCCCACAGGTTATACTAAACTTTTAAGGAACAGATAATGCCCATCTGTGTTTGAGAGTGTGGGAAAAAATGTGGAGCTACACAGTTTATTTTGCAAAGCTAGCAGAACTTTGCTATTGAAACTAAGGAGAACACAAAAAGGAGATTTGCAGGTCAGTCTCATAGAATGTAGTTTTATAAAATTCAATAGTTATAATAAAAAAAAATCTTAGGAAGCGAAGACTAAAAGGTACTACTTCAATAAAGGGAATGTACCAGAAATCTTCAACAAAGATGATCCACATTGGAGAAGTGGAGAAGTATTAAAGCGAGTCCCGTAAGTAGGGACCAGAACAAGGAGGCTCTCACTACTACTATTTAACATTGTCCTGGAGCTCCTAGAAATAAGTACAGAGACGAGAAAAGAAGAGATGCCTGAAAGCCAAGTGAATCCACCTATCAGTACTAATAAGATTAGTTAGCAAGGGAAATGGGCATATGATAAACACAAAATTAGTAACTACTCATATACCACCAATAATCATTTTTAAAATGGAAAGGAAAAATGCTACTTGAGACTAGATCTAACCAAAAAACACGTAAAAACTTTATGGAGAAACTGTATACTTTACGAATGGAATTCAGAAAAGGTGAAGTGGATAGAGAGTCTCAGCGTAGTAGAGATGTTGCTCTACAGCCCACACTCCCAGTTCCTTTACCAATTCAGTAGACTTCTAACACGTTTCATCAAACGTCTAAAATTCATATAAAAGGGCAAACGAGAATAACCAAGACAAATTTGAAAAAACAAAAGAGGAAGTTTTCCCCTATCATATCAAAACCATTAACATTTATAATGATTAAAATTACAGTGTTGGTACAGGGAAAGGATCATCACAAACAGATCAAACAGATTAAAAAGTCAGAAATGTGAATTTAGTAAATGATAAAAGTGGTATTCCAGATCAGCAGGAAAAGATATAGGAAAATATTTGATGATCTCCAACTACGGAAGGTCTTAAAGAAGATGCAAAACAACAAAAACTGTTCAAAAAAGACAGAACTAAAAGACACATCAAAAGATGGGGCAGATCACCACAAGTCATTTACAACATGGCTTAGAAAATAATAAATTAGTAAGAAAAGAAATCCAACTTAAAAGTGGTCTAAGCATGTGGTCTAAAAATGGTCTAAATATAAATGCCAATAATTATAACAGATTCATAAGCCCACTAGTAATTCGGAAAGTGCACATTAAAACTGCACTGAGATAGCGTTTTTACTCAGAGGATTGGCAAATAATTAAAGTTTGTTGACATTAAAGGATGAGAATGTGGAGATGGGAACTCTCACTCAGTGCATGTGAGAAAGTACCGTAGTGTAGCGAGTCAGGAGGATGATTTGGTAGTTTCTGTTATCATTTAAAATGGGCATGTACCATATGATCAACAGTTACCTGTCTTAGCATCCAGTCTAGTGATAAATTCACACATTCAGTGCACAAGGATGCATATAATTGAAGGTTCATTGCAACCAATATTTGAAAAATTGGAAACAATCCAGTGGTCCCTAAATAGGAAAATGGCTAAATGAACTGTGATAGGAATTCATTATGGAATCCTTTACAGCCATTAAAAAAATCATTAAAAAAAAATCGCTACATGTGTATATCAAATAGATGTCCAAGATATGTTGTTGAATGGAAAAACTGAGATTCATTGCTATAGTCCTAATAGGAAACTACCTAGGTTAAAACATGCACACACCTCAGTACTGAATAAAATGCAGGGTGTATTCAGGACCAGAAGATGAATCATTCATGGGTGAGATGTATGCGGAAGGATGAACCTGGAGAAGGAGACAAATTAGGCTTTCAAGGCTCTTGAATGCTATGCTCAGGAGTTTGACTTTATTTTGTAGGTAGTTTGCCTCTGTGTGCTTTCCGGAGGAAGACTCAAAAGGATGGTATTGTTATTTTACCATAGTGTGTAGGCGTATAGCCTTGAAAATGGATTATTGGTGACAAATTTAGAAAGGATCTCTCTCTTAGGAGAAGATCATCCTTATCTGGATTCATGATGCTGATGTCTAAAGCCAGTAGGCAGTAACTCATTTACATAATAAATAATTGCTATGGAGATAGATGAGGCTACCTGAGCTCCCCGTGACCTTCAGATCCTCGCCAAAGAATCTGGAGAGGCTCAGGGGACAGAGCAGGGGAGGTAAATAAATGCGCATCTCTTGGCATCCAATAAGAGAACCGCAATCGTCACAAGGGTAGGGCTGTTTACATTGAAGGGGCCCAGACCGCTCGAAATGTGCATAAAATGTGCACACGGAGGCTCCCCGTCCCTGGACAGCGGATGGACGGATGGTGGCGATAGCTGCGTTCCCGATTGCGTTCTCAGATCCCCAGGACTGGGGTTCTGTAGGCAGGAGAGGACGGGGCCACACTTCAAAACCAACACTGGGAAGAGAGAGTGATAGATTTAAGAGTTTTTGGAGGTAAAACGCACAGAAGCTGGTGACCAGGGGAATACAGAGTCTGAGCGAGGAGCAGGTAACGTGCCCCAGGATTTCTGCTTTTGCTCGACAGGGAAACATGGGACAGGAAGTGCTCCTTTAGAGACGGTCACGTGAGCAGCACAGAGGAGGGAGGCGCCCTGAGTCCACGTGACACCGAAAGAATCTGACATCACTTGATCGGTAATTGGGACCTAAAAGGCCTTGAACATTGACCAGAGTGATTATCTGCCGGTGCTTTTATAGCGAGGGGCGGTATGACCACATCCACGCTTTACGAGTGACACAGTTGAATATTGGGGCTTAATGTTTAGTGGCACGATGGTAAACTCTAGTTTTTGTCAATAATGAATTGATTCATTGAATTTTTCTACTTTCAATCAGGTGACCTGGTATTAAGTAACAATTATTTCTCAATTCTTTTTTTTAAAAAAAAAAGTATTCTGGAAAACAAGAGAGAACCTCAGGAATATGCTGTATAGAATCCCTGAAAGAAGTATTCTTTATTTCTTGGAAAATTTATCTGATGGGACAATCGATCCTTTGGATAACGTCAGACAACTTCAGTGACTGTTCTAAGTAAATTGAATTATTTGAATTAGAATTCGGTAATTGGGAAGAAATGTTAAAAGTATAGACACATACAGAATCTTGAAATATCATTAAATTTAGTTTTTAAAAACATTCTCTTGAGCCCATTTGAAATATTACCAAGTAGTTTATTCCTTCAGTAGTAGAGGAGAGGGGGAGTGGAACTCTGTCCCTGCCCGCGTCAGGTACCTTTGGCAAGTACCGGTTCTTAGAAGCGGTGGAAGGCTTTCCTGCGCTTCTCCCTGGGCCAGGTTTTGCTTTTACAAGAGAAGCTTCCGGGAAGCGAGGGGGATTTTGTTCTCTGAGTCTTTAGCAGGGTCTCTCGTGAGTCTCTGGCCTGCCCTGCCCCTGGTTTTCTCGTGCATATGCGCTGAGGCCTGCGTGAGGCCGGGGAGTGGGTGCAGACTCTTGTTTGTCTCTGGGTTCCCGGGAATCCAACACCTAGCGCTCGCCCACATTCGGTCTTTAAGTGTTTGTTAACATTTTGGTTGTTTTCTTCTCTCCCACTTTGTGGCACCTGCCCGCCCTCCCTCCCACGCGGCTGAGAGAGCGACTTCAGCTTTCTAACGTGCTGCTGCTTCTCCTTCTTAGGGTGGGAGTGAGGTTCTCTTACGGCTGCAGAGTTGATGTTAGTTTTCTCCTTTTCTGTATTTGCGACTGTTAACCTTCTCCAACAGTGAGAAACCAGGCTGACATTATCCTTAATATGTAAACTGATTTGATCAGTCCCCCTGGGTGTAATCAGTCTCCCATCACTGCCACCGTCCCCTGCCACTCAGGGACACCACCCTGCTCCACTCGGGCTCTGACCCCCATCCTCATGCCACATGGCTCCCCTCCTTTGCCCGCCCAGGCCCCAGCACCCTTTCTAGGCTCTTCTCCTGTGTGTGGGCTCTCGTGACCGTTTGGGTTTTGACTCGCCATCCCGGGCCACCCTGTACGGATGCCCTCCTCGCCCTGCCTGGGCTCCAGCACCCACCGCAGGCCACCCTCCACCCAGGCACCTACTGCACGCCGGCCCACCCAACCACTGTAGGACCGATATGTTCAGGGAGGGAGGGAAGGGGAAAGTGGATGGAAACGGGGGCTTGTGCTCCCGAAAGAAAGACTGAGTGTCTGAGTTAGTAACCATCCTTTAGTATAAATAAACTAATATTAAATACATTTTAAGTATCTATATTTTATCTTTCTAACAGGTTATGAAGTTCATGGGATGGAAAAAGTACCAGAAGGGCCAGCACTGATCATTTTTTATCATGGAGCTATTCCCATCGATTTTTACTACTTCATGGCTAAAATTTTTATCCATAAAGGCAGAACTTGCCGAGTAGTAGCTGATCACTTTGTTTTTAAAATTCCAGGTAAACTTTCACTGTAGCTGGTGATATAAAAATGTTTAATTAACATGATCAAACTATGTGACAGTCTGTATGTCTTTGAGTTTAGTATCTGTTTTAGGTAATATACCTAAATGTAAAAACATTATGGCCAAAAATGTTATCTAATTTCTTTCTCTATTAACAGGTAGTCATTATTTTTTGAAGTTAAATCCTAAAAGAAATTGTAACTTTTGCCAAACAATTAATTTGTATTTTGGTATAGAAGGTAGTTGATTTTTCATATGGTGAATTTTTCTATGAGATATTGATCTGGGAGTTTAATTTTATAGTAATTAGTGTTTGATTACTGTCAGTTTGATAGCAAATCAAAGTTAAAAAAAATTAGCCAGGATATATTTTGTCTTTATATAATCATATAATATTGCCTCAGAAATCCTAACCTAAAGAGCCTATTATGTCTTTTATCATACTTGACTTGCTTGGTAGAATTATAACTCTTAAGACTGAGGACCACTTTTTTTTAAATATTCATATTCATAAAGGCTTCGTACCTCTTTAAAAAGATTAATAAACTGAATGGTTTCAAACATGATAAGAGTTTTAAAAAATATCATTCTAAAGTAAACTCATTAAGATTAAATCTTATTTTCTTCTGTCAGGAAGTCAGCAGAAACAAGCCAAGAAAGTTTATGGTATGTTCTCTGGAATTGTAAAAGCAAAAGCCAACCGTCAACCAGATAAACACCAGACAGTGGATGAAATAACAGTTCTCTTAGTGCCTCTCATAGACGTGGTTAATGTTTCCAGCATCCTTGGGCCCCTAAAAAGCCATTTGTACTTTGTGTATAAACTGAATTGGCTATAAAATGTATTTCTTTAGACAGTAATATGATCACTTTATAATAAGCTTGGAAACTACAGGAAAGAAAAACATCATTATATGGTCTTACCCTCCTAACATATATCCAGTTATCATTTTGACTTATTTTGTTCATTTTTTAAAAAATTAATTCATTCATGTATTTTTGGCTGTGTTGGGTCTTCGTTTCTGTGCCAGGACTTTCTCTAGTTGCGGCGAGCGGGGGCCAGTCTTCATCGCGGTGCGCGGGCCTCTCACTATCGCAGCCTCTCTTGTTGCGGAGCGCAAGCTCCAGACACGCAGGCTCAGTAGTTGTGGCTCACGGGCCTAGTTGCTCCGCGGCATGTGGGATCTTCCCGGACTGGGGCTCGAACCCGTGTCCCCTGCATTGGCAGGCAGATTCTCAACCACTGCGCCACCAGGGAAGCCCTATTTTGCTTCATTTTTAATTTGCACATCTTCACGTTATGCAAACTGTTTTGTTCTTTTTTAAAAAACTTAATGTAGCATTAACATTTTCCCATGTTTTATAAATAACATTTTAAATCTATGACTAAAATATTTACTTAACTAGTTTTCTCTTATGGAACATTAGGTTGCTTACGTTTTTTTCTTTTTATAAGTAATAAATGTGAATATTTTTATTTAGCATTTGACTTAAAAATTTCCCCCTTTATGATCTTTATGATCTTGTAATTTATTAAACCTCCCCTGTTTATTCATTTATCATGAGAATACATCTAGTGAAATCAGTGAACTTTTAACATAGTATAGGATGAGAATTATTTCTTCTCAATAATATTGATAATCTTGCTTCAGATCCTTAAACCTGTGAGAAGTTGGGTTATTCTGCACAGTTTTCACTCTCCATCCCCATATTTCCCAGTCTCAAGGGATAATGTATACAAACACCAGTCCTCTAAATTTCCAGTTTAGGATTTGGTTAAAATATTTAATTACTGATAGGATTATTTCTTTCATCCATAAATAGCTATAATTTGAAAAACTGTATAATATTAAGACTGGAATTAATTGTTTCTGAGCCAACCACTCACTTTATTAAAAACTCTTAATGATATTGCTGTTATTGTTGATTTAAAAAAATTTTTATTGTGGAATTAGCAGTATCTAACTTTTAATTTCAATAGCTTTAACTGTGACTTGCCAATTTTGGTAGAGCTAGAGCAGTCAGACTCACATTCTCTTGAGTGATTCTCTTTCTTATAGGGTTAATGGAAGATTAGATGTGTGATTGATGATGGGATGTCCTTTCTGATTGCTCTAATAAATACTGTAGACAGTGTTTGGCCATGAGATGCAGTGGAAGGAGCTTTGGACTAGACATACCTGGACCGGAATCTCTGCCCTGCCCTTTGCTAGGTGTGTGACTTGGAGCAAGCTTCTTAACTCTCTGAGTCAACTTTCCTCATTTGTAAAATGGGAATAAGAATCCCTATTTTCCCAGGTGTTTTTTTTTTTTTGGCCGCCACACAGCACGGCATGTGGGATCTTAGTTCCCCAACAAGGGATCGAACCTGTGCCCCCTGCAGTGGAAGCATGGAGTCTTAACCACTGGACCACCAGGGAAGTCCCATGAGTTTTAATTAAGAATTTGAATATGTAGCCAGAGTAGTAGGTGATCACTGAGAAAGTAATCAGCGAGACATAGCTATTAATTTACCAGCAATATTAATCTTATGTTAACCTTAAGAGTTGTTGTTGGTTTAAAAAAAAGTAAAAAAAAAGAATTTACTGATTTAAGTATAAATAGTACATTATGTAGGTTGTGAAGATTTTTGCTCTTGAAGAATTGGACAAGAAGTACTTAAGATATATCTTCATGCTAATGTTTCTTACAGGGTTTAGTTTATTACTTGATGTATTTTGTGCTATACATGGACCAAGAGAAAAATGTGTTGAAATTCTGCGGAGTGGTCACTTGTTAGCTATCTCACCAGGTGGTGTTCGAGAAGCCCTGATTAGCGATGAGACCTACAACATCGTGTGGGGTAATCGTAAAGGCTTCGCTCAGGTTGCAATTGATGCAAAAGTGGTGAGTTGTATAAAACTGATTATTAAAGGAAAGCTGTGTCTGCTTTAAAGTAAATGCTTAAATAGCTTAAGAGTATATCAGAATTTAGATACTGTCATTGCACTGCTTTAAAAATTAGTGTCTGTAACTCTAAGATAACAATAGAGAAATATTCCTTGTGCATGGGAAGCCATCTTTATAAAAAAATTCAATCTGGAAATTTGCAAATATCTAGCAAAGCTTTATTTTATGCTTCAAAATCCAGCTTCTTTTAATCAGATTTATGAAATTTTTTGTATTCCTTCACTTATACTTTTTTCATAAGTATAATCAATCCAACTCTGTGTATTTTAATCCTTTGGTTCAACTGAGTTGGCACGTTTCAGTGATGGCTATTGGTTGGTTTCATTGTCATTCTTGCATTTGTGACCAATTTATATAACAATAGAGCTCAAATAATATATGGTTTCTACCGTTTTTCATCAGTAAATGTGATCAGCTCTCTAATAGTATGAATAAAGATGAGAAAGAGATATTGGTGTAATTTAGATCTTTTTAAAAGAACGAATTTGTCAATAAAATTAAGTGTTCCTCTGGGATTCACTGTAATTATTCTACTTAGTAAACTGGAAAATCTGAATGTCATCTTGGTTTTTTGCTTTGGAAAGTATATCTAAGCTTTTTGGTCTCTGTATTGTACTTTATCCTATGAAACATTTATTACTTATGGAATGTTTCTTCTTTGTTTTCTGTTTGTTTTCATTACAGATTGTCTATCAGAAAAAGAAATCATAGCACTTGACAAGGTGGTTTTCTTTTTCCAGGCCAATTAGTTAGGGACTGCTGCTAATGCTTTCACATTTCTGTTTTTTGTGTGTGTGTTTCCACTGCTGTCATATAGACACCAGTCTGCACCCTTAGCTTGCCTGTTCATCTTGCAGATACAGGCTTTTGATTAAAAAGGAAAGGATTATGGATGACTCCTTCTAACCCAAAAGCAACATTTGAAGAAGAATGGACATTTTCCCTTTATTTTTTAATTGCAGAGTTACAATAAAATAAAATACATTGAGCTCTATTCTCTGTACATATTTGTATATGTAATTCCTAGAAGTACGTTATAGTGCTTTAACAGTGTGATCTTGGTATAAGTTAATGTACTTGTCCAAGTGTTTAATAATGGACAACATAAAAATTTAAACACTACTGTCCTATAGTAGATTATAAACTCCCTTAGGACAAAGCCACTTTTTATATTCTGAATTCCTAGTACAATGACTAGCACTTAGTAGGCTCTCTGCATTTGTTGAATTGATTTTTTAAATACTACAAGAAAGGAGTCTTTTGAATTTAAGTCTATGTTAATAGTATTAATGGTACAGAAAATTAATTTATAGCCCATTTTATTTTCCAGAAAGTCTTATGTACTAAGGTAGAAAACAAAACCTTAGACTTTATGAATAACGTAGAATATAAGATGATGTATGCACAGTTGTTCCGAAATTAAGGATAATCAGTGTAAATGTACATTAAAGCAATGATAACAGCTAAAAACTTAAAGATAGTTCAATTTTCAGGTTTGTATTTTGAGAGAATTATTTCTTCCAAGGTTTAAGGTAAAAGTGACAAAAATAGATTTGGAATCACACAGATTGATCATGGAATTCTAATTCCTCATCCTTAAGTTACAGTTTTAAGGACCATTGCCTGGAAGAAGTCTTGAAAGAAAAAATTATATAGAGAAAGAAGCCCTTTTATCAATCCCTGAGTTTCTAGATAATTAATTAAGATAACCTAGATAGAGCTTCCCTGGTAGCACAGTGGTTAAGAATCCACCTGCCAATAAAGGGGACACGGGTTCTAGCCCTGGTCCAGGAAGATCCCACATGCCGCTGAACAACTAAGCCCGTGCGCCACAAATACTGAGCCTGCACTCTAGAGCCTGTGAGCCATAACTGCTGGGCCAACGTTCCACAACTACTGAAGCCCATGTGCCTAGAGCCCATGCTCCACAAGAGAAGCCCCGCAATGAGAAACCCACGCACCACAACGAAGAGTAGCCCCCGCTTGCCGCAACTAGAGAAAGCCCATGTGCAGCAACGAAGACCCAACACAGCCAAAAAAAAAACCCCGATAACCTAGATAATTTAAGGTTTTTTTATACAAAACTTGAGAAAATTTAATAACCAGCCTTTTACAAGTTAATAAATAAAAATCTTTAACGTTGCTGATTTACAAAATAGCACTGCATCACTGATAAATCTTGTACCACCCTAACCTTTCTTAGCACTTTTAAAGGCTTTATGTTGGTACCCCTGTACAGTAAGTAGGTGACATATGTAATTATTCCAGTGTTACAGATGAGGAAACTCAGGCACACAGAGATGAAGGGATGGAGGGACCCTGTCACACAGCAAGTCAGAAGCAGAGTTTACAGTTCAGGACTGCAGGCAGCTGGTACACTGCACAGTGAGTCCGCCAACCCCAAGATTAGAGGGCCTTGCAGGTCCGCGAGGGAAGCCTTTCAGTCACATGACGATACAGTTGTAAATGGTACCAGCAGCTTATTTGAAAAAGCCCTTCTTAGGTCTCACAGAATTATCATAAACTTTGAATAAAAAGCTACGACTGTTGTTACAAGACTAACCACATTTAAATTGAAACAAAGGAATGGAAATTCAAGTGAAAATCTAGGTCATCAACAGAAATTCACAAAATATTGGCAGAAAATATTTAAGGCTCGTCTGCAAGTTACAGGCTTTTTGATATAATCTAAATCACTCTTATTTTGTGAATTCCTGAGAATTCTGACTTTGCCAAGAATTTTTAGGTAATTTCGTAGCTAAATAATTTGGGGAAAAAAATGAGCCCATTTACTCTAATTGGAAAACAAATAACAGATGTAAAAGAAAATAGCATTCGTTTCAATAAAATTGTTTATATGTATTATCTCAATCTATAAAAACCTTGAGTTGGGATCATTATTATTATTGTCATTTCATACATGAAGAAACAGGTTTAGTGACCTGTCCAATGGTTCCCACTTAAATTTTTGTGGCAAAGTTAAGACTCCAAGGCCACGCTCTATTCCCCAAGAATAGTTTTAACAAAATACACATTCTCTACCTCTTCACACACGTGTACATACACGTACAGAGATACATGTATACATGTGATCAATGTGATTCTAGGTTACTTATGCAACTACCTTGTTATACAAAGTATGCGCAAACAAAGGAACGAACTACAGTATGAAGTTGTAATAAGGTAATGCTTGCAGCTGTAAGGCTGCAAGCTTGAATGTAAATTTAGAAACCAGGGTATACCCTGGAATACTGAGTTTGTAGGGTAAGCCTTCTCCGGTTTAGTATCTTCTAGAAATGCCCAGTTTCTGGAGAGTTAGCCATTTAAAGGATGATATATATATACCTGAAGAGTCTTTATAAAGTGCAGCCTTCAATACTAACTTCGGGGTTCATGCCAGTCAGTAGACAAAAACCTAGCAGCACTGATCAGAGAAGGCAAAGTGGTGTATATATGAGCTGAAAGCTTTCTGTTCCTTCCTGGGCATCTTAAGTTCTCAACTCTAAAGACATTGTAGAAGTATTTAAAACATTAGGATTCCAACCATCACTTTATTCTACAAAACTAGTGGTGGTTTTAGGAAAATCATAATCTGAGTTTTTTTACAAAAGAGTCAGTCTACTTTGTCTTAGGTGTTAGCTTTATGAATTAACTCCATCAGATTTTAAATTATTCATCGGACTGCTTCTTCTTTACCCGGCTTTTCTGGTTTTAAAATTGCTGCTGCCTGTTTCCTACCCTTTGTATTCAGAGAGTACAAGCTAATTCCTTAGAAGCATTTTCTCTCTGTCCTGTTGATTCATTCCTTCTTTAGTTCACCTGTCACACTGTCTTTTAGTACCTGCTTTATTCCAGGCACTGTTCTAGGTGTTTCCAGCAGTGAACGAAAGCAAGTCTCTGCTATGGGGGGTCTTGCTTCTAGTGAGGGGAGAGAGATAATAACTAAATGATCAGTTAGGTGATTGAAAGGGAGTATGTTTTATGAAGAAAGCTGTGTCTGTAGACTCTTCCCTTTGGTCCACCAGATTTCACTGGTTTCCAAAGCTGAAAAGGAACAGCTTTTTAAATGTCAGCTTATTTAAATGTTTCAAACCCTGCTCACTCAGGCAAGTAATTCTGTATTAACAAATGCTGATAGTAGACTGTAAGTAAAATGATCCTCGCCCCCCCCTTCCAGTTTTATCTATTCTAAAACATCATTTAATTCAGTATATTTTGTGTACCTTTTAAAGTGTTTTATTCAATTTTTTATCTACTTCAGTTTCGCCGTGGCGTAACTTCCTTACATGATCCTTTGCTACTTTATCCATTGTTTCATGACATTTAGATGAGGTCTCCATTTTTAAAAAATCATATTTAACCAATAATGTTCATGGAAAAATAAAAACCATGAACTTTTGAGCAGACATCCTCCAAAATAATGATAGAACGTGTTCTTTTATGTATATGTTTTTCCTTTTTTTTACTTTTTTTTGGTGTTGAGTATTATACTTACTTTTCATTGATGTTGAACATTATTAGATTTAATAAGCTCACAAAAACATGGTGTTTCACTAATTCCATGACAGCATCTTGCTAAAACTTGTCATTTGAACATATGTAAGTTTCTCCATAGAGAGAATTTCTCTCATAGAGAGAATTTCTTCAGTAGCCCACTGAAACCAGTTTAATTATCACACTCATTTTACTTAATGAAATTAATGATCACTTTAATCTTAATTTTGAGTTTCAAGCGTTCATGTGGAATGATAGGAAAGTCGGTAAATGAAATATTATGTATTACCACTAGAAGGTAGTGTTTCCAATTTATATTTTTCTACAAATGATCATGTTCATTTTAGTCTGATAAATCACACTGGTGATAACAGTATACCTTTATTTTTAAAATGCCTTGGTTTTGTGACTTAAACAGGCCCTCAAAAGTTTGCATTAGAGACATCAAACGGATTAACGTATTTACTTTTTAATTCAAATTCTCTCTTTAGCCCATTATTCCTATGTTTACACAAAATATTCGAGAAGGATTTAGATCCCTCGGAGGAACAAGTAAGTTCTGATTCATATGTTTTTGCTAATTGTAATGTAATATTTAGAATGTAATATTTTAAATATTTGGGCTTTTGAACACTACAGGAAAACTTTTCGAATTATTGCTTTAGAAAATACATATACTATTTAGATGTTTTTCTCTTTAAACTCTAAATGATAACTGGTTCTAAGTAATGGTGGTTCTAGATGTTAGATTTTTGTTAAGAGTCTCACGTATATACTGAAGCTTATTTATCATGGGCTTTTTAAAATTACAGAGTGAATTTTCTAATTTACTGTGTTAAACCATGCTGTTGAGGTTTAAAACAAATGTACTTATTTGTAAATAAAGACTATCTTCCTAACTCATTCCTGAAGAAGTGACGCTGTAAAAATGGATGGCAATAAAAAAAATTGGGGGGGATAGAATTTGAAAGTCTTTTTATCTTGAAAAAAGTATATATATATGTTTGCATAAATCTCTTAAATTTTAAGAAATTAATTTCTATTGGAGTATAGTTGATTTTACAATGTTGTGTTAGTTTCAGGTGTACAGCAAAGTGAATCAGTTATACATATACACATAGCCACTCTGTTTTAGATTCTTTTCCCACATAGGTCATTACAGAGTGTTGAGTAGAGTTCCCTGTGCTATACAGTAGGTTCTTAGACAAGAAAATATTGAATTAAGATTAACAACCTAAGGAGATATCATTTGCTTTAATTTATTTCGGTTACCTCTTGTTTTTTTTTGAACCATGATAGATTTACATTGAAAAGTTCTTTTTGCCTACCTTTAATTTATTGATAACAAAGTAAGCTTTGAACCTAGCTATAAGAGTGATAACAATTCAATGTGCTTTCTCTTTGCAAAGTCTCTCTTTTTTTTTTTTTAGTTTTATAGTTTGCTTTGTACCCTATGGTTTATATATTATATTTGATTGATTATGTTTTATCCCTAGTGCTATATTGTTAGTGTTCCCACCCACATACAAATCCCATCCTGAAAACCTTAAACTTCTGTTGTTCCTTTTATGTCTGTGTTGGTATATTGTTGATATTCCATTATGGGTTTTTTTAGTTCTTTTTCTTCAGATTTGGAATGGAAAGGCAGATTGATGTGATGTTTAACTTTTGTTGTGTAATTAATCCTTCTAAATTTCTCTCAGATCATTTCTTTAGAATTTAAGTTGCATACCAGAAATTATTCCTAATTTTGTTTCTCTAATTGTAAAGTGGTTTTAAAATTCTTTTTGACTGGGTTTCCCTGGTGGCGCAGTGGTTGCGAGTCCGCCTGCTGATGCAGGGGACGCGGGTTCGTGCCCCGGTCCGGGAGGATCCCACATGCCGCGGAGCGGCTGGGCCCGTAAGCCATGGCCGCTGGGCTTGCGCGTCCGGAGCCTGTGCTCTGCAACAGGGGAGGCCCCAGCAGTGAGAGACCCGCGTACCGCAAAAAGAAAAAAAAAAAAATTCTTTTTGACTGCTTTTTTTACTTTAAAAGTTGAATATCTCAAAAGTTGGTGTGTAGTGGTATATTTTTTTGAGTATTACTTTGGGTCTTATGGTATATTCTGTGTTTCCATATATAAAGTGTTTTAAACTTTCAGTACAATTCTTTTTTTTTTTTTTTTTTTTTTTTTTTTGGGGGTTCGTGGGCTTCTCACTGTTGTGGCCTCTCCCCGTTGCGGAGCACAGGCTCGGGACGCGCAGGCTCAGTGGCCATGGCTCATGGGCCCAGCCGCTCCGCGGCATGTGGGATCTTCCCGGACCGGGGCACGAACCCTTGTCCCCTGCATCGGGAGGCGGACTCTCAACCACTGCGCTGCCAGGGAAGCCCTCAGTGCAATTCTTAATTATGTATTCCATGTTGCTTGTCATGATTTGGATTCTTTTTTTTTAAACTTAGTCTTAGTCTGTCAGTTTATGTTACATTATTACCACTTTTAATCTTGCTAAATTTCATGGTTGGTCATTAGCATTAACAATTCTTTTTCCTAGTTTACAGTAATGTTTTTAGCCTTTACTTAGTTTATTGGTGCATTTTAGTCTCACGTTTACTTGAATTTATTTTATGCTTTCATTTTTTCTTTTGTTTGTGTAAGTCACGTATCTGTGAGTCTTTGGACTTTTTTAGCTTCTAGCTTTTTGTTGCAGTCTTTATGCTGTGTTTTTCAATAATAGTAATTAGTTTGCCTTTTTAAATTCTTACATTTTTAAAAGCTCATCTTTCCCCCCTAATTAATAGACCTTATTTTTTTGAGCATTTTTAGGTTTACAGAAAAATTGAGCAGAAGGCATAGAGAGTAGCCACAAACCTCACCACTCCCCAGTTTCTTCTGTTATTCACATCTTGCATTAGTGTGCTACATTTGCTACGATCAATGAATAGCTCATCTTTTAAAAAAGTATTGTATTAATTGCCAGGAGGTGATCCTGTTTGCCTCCATCCTCTAAGTCTTACATAATTAATTTGAAAGTTTACAGTTACATGCTCAGAATATTTAGCCAATTAAAATGATTCTGTTTTCTTTACAACAGGGTTATTTAGGTGGCTGTATGAGAAGTTCCGTTATCCGTTTGCCCCAATGTATGGAGGTTTTCCAGTGAAGTTACGCACCTATTTAGGTGACCCTATTCCATACGATCCAAAGATCACGGCAGAAGAACTAGCTGAAAAGGTAAATTATTATTTCTTTCTTAGTTTTAGGACACATTTGTACTTTCAGGTTTTATTTTAAAAATTAAATAATTCTACAAGCATGTCCTGGATCAGTGGTGATTTTCCCCCCAGGGGACATCTGGCAATGTCTGGGGACATTTTTATTGTCACCACGGATGAGACTTGGGAGGAGGTCGTGCTGTTGGCGTCCAGTGGGTAGAGGCCGGGGATGCTGATAAACATTCTATAGTGCACAGGACACCCGCCCCGCCCCCAGCAAAGAACCGTTCTTTCTAAAATGCCAATTGTGTTGAGGTTAAAGTTCTTGGCACCGTTAATTAAAAGGTTTCGTTAAGTGATATTCAGAAGAAGAAAGCTTTGACCTCCATGAAAAGAAATTGCTTTTGTCTGGTAGAAATACCTTGGGAGGAACATGGAATCATGTTTAAGAGTGTGGGTTGTGAAGTCAGATTGTTCTAGTGCCTCTGTTTGTTTGCTCGGGCAGGGGAGCAGGGGAGAGAACAGAGCCCACTCACAGAGTTACCCCTGGGGGTCACATGCGATTGAGGACATCCATCATTAGGAGCAGTGTCTGCCCTCTAGCAGGTGTTCCATGACTGCTGGCTACTGCTGTTGCTCTAGGAACTTGCGGCCCAGTGTGGCAGGTAAATAACTAAATCGATGCTTTTAGGTGACGCGTTAGCACAATGGTGTGCCTGCGGCACGATTTCCCAACCTGGGCACTATTGGTATGTTGTTGTGCGGTTGTTCTGTGCACCGTGGGGTGTTTACTCACTAGATACTGGTAGCATCTCATTGCTATCCCTCACTCACTGTGACAATAAAAAAAACATCTCTAGACGTTGCCATTATCCCCTGGGAGACAAAATCTCCCCTGGTTGAGACCTGCTGTTTTAGGGTATTATGGAAACACAAAGGAAAAACATCTAAATTAAACCAGGGATGCCTCCTTGAAGGAAGTGATGCTTGAATTCAGTTTTGAAAGGCGAAAAGGGATTCGCTGGGTGAAGAGTAGAGAGGTAGAGGAAACAGCATATGAAAGGATGGCAGCACGAACTGGCGTAAAGTCTTCAGGGAGTTGAGGGTGGTCTGGGGTAGCTAAAGGGATAGAGAGTACAGACAATGAGGCTGGAAACATAGGAGTGTCTGGACCACGAAGGCACATCCTTGATTTTGTTTCTTGAAAGCCAGGGGTAGCTACTGAAAGCAGATGACTGATGTAGTAGGTTTGCTTTTAGAAAGATCACTAGAAGCAGTAGGGAGGCCGAGTCTGAGTGAGACCAGGAGAAGCTCAAAAGGGAAGGAGACTGCTTTGTGAGGGAAAAAATAGGAAACGCTTCCTAGAATTGAGGGCATTTGTGGTAGGTCTTGAAAGACGGACGGGACTTGGACATGCGGACTTGGGGCAGGAGGGAAGAGTTCCAACAGAGGAACAGTGGTAGGAAAGTTGACTGCACACACCAACAGTGTAGAGCAGCCTGATAGGACTAGGAGAGTGAGGTTGGGAAGGGTGCCTAATAAATTCGCCTTCGGGAATTTCGCAAAGCATGTGAACACGGTGAAGGTTCTAAGAAGCCCCGCAATAAAGAGGTCTATTTAACTTTGTTTCAAAGAGCTTTGCCCAGTCTCATCTGACCAAAACCAGCTCCTGGTTTTTCCTGGAATAGCAGCTAATAACAGCTCTGGAATAAACTGGGGGAATCACTAGCTGAGTGGGTAGCGAGCATTTGGTTGAGAGGAAACTGGAAAAGTAAGTGGAAACTCTATTTTTCGGCCCGTGAATAGCAGACTAGGGATTTTGTTTAGGAGAGGCCATTGGAAGTAGCCGTTCACCCGCAGTGACACTGGCCAAGGCAGGCACACAGCCACACTGGGCGTTAACGGGGCAGGACAGGATCCTTCCCACAGGGATGGCCCAGAAGAGGCCGAGCAGACGAGCAACTGTAATGCCCAGGGCTCGGCAAGGTCTGGCACTTAGGAAAGGATGCCCAGCCGCGGCAGCTAGAATGTCACATCAGATGAGACTGTTCAGATCAAGCAGCGGGTATGTAGGAAGCTTGACAAAGGTAACATTAATGATACCTTATGTTCCTTGTCTGTGAGCTTCATTCTGAGAAAACGTACCTCCTGCTAGGTATTCTACTAACTGGTTAGGTGAGTTAACTCAGAGAGTGTAGCAATCCTTTTCCTGAAAGGAAACCCCTCCCACACTGGTTTCCCAGTCCGGGCAGGCTCTGTGCACAGCACTTCTCCCATCCCCAGGTGATGCCTCACGGTGGTGACTTCAGATGACACCAGGGCTCAGCCCTCACCCTGTCATGTTGCTTCTGCCCACACACTTTATTGTTCCTGTACCACATCTCCGCAGCTCCCTGACAAATGCATTCTCCTTTAGCACAGAGCTGAACTCTGTTTTGTTCTTTAAAAAGGTTTTTCCCGCCTAACTATTAGGATTTAATTGGGTCAGAGCAAGTTAGGAATACTTTTTTACAAATACCGTCCATTTTTATGGTTAAGATACAAGGTAATGGAGAGAGAGGGAAGAGAAACTGGCCCGGAAGTTTAGGGATCTGAGTCCTAACCCTAACTCTCCCACCAGGCAGCAGAGTCAGGTTGGGTAAATGGTATGTTCCTCCCTGAGTCTCAGAGTCCTCAACTGTAGAATGGGGAGATTAAAATGGATATCTCAGAGGTTTCGTCCAGGTCTAAAATTAAGTGAATCCTGTTCCCTTATTTTTCTCAGTTAAGGAGAATATATTACTGATCATTAAATTCCTGGGACTTGATTTTTCATGAGTGAGAAATATATTCATGGCACTGGTAGAGTTAGATATTTTAGACGTTAAAATATATATTTATATATTTACCAATTCAAACTGGTAAAAAGAAGAGGCCTTCCTGAATCATTGAAATACCTCAGTCACTGTCTCCAGTTACTTTATGTACTTTGTTATCAGTATTTAAAGTAACAGAAGTTGTCTACGAAAGCATAGTTTAGTAAAATTTCTTGAGGGAATTTCCTTAAATATATAGTTGTCATATCCGTATTTCTGATGGTAAGTTGTCATTGCTGAACTGAAGTAAACTTGAAATAAAGAATACTTGAAATTTTCCTTTTGTGGATACATTGCATGAATTTCCAATCTCCATTGCTTACAATATAAGCATAAACTGTAGCACAATGATCCCTGGATTATCGCAAATTCAAAATTACCAACATCTAAATTAATGTAGAAATGAAACCTCATTTAAGAAATGGGAGCTAGACTGTTCAGGCATTTGATTGTGGAGAAGATTCATTTCGTAGACCCTAAATCTAAATTAAAATACACTGTACTCATGCTGAAGAGGGCACTTGGGATATGGCCTTGAAGTTCTCTCAGTCTTAAAGAAATCTGTTGTTTCCATCTGTCTCTGCCTCTCTCTCTGCATTCTGCATACACACATCCACACATACGTTAAGTACAGATTTATTTATATATACAGGTGTATATAATATACGTGTCCTATTAAGGTGGAAGGAAGGTGGGGAGAAGTGCGTAGATTTGAGTGGTACTGGGAGGTGAGCTAACGGATGCCACCGACGGATTCTTATTCTCAGTGAATGAGAAGCAGGAATTGTTAAGGATGATTCCCAGGTTTGGGTTACTGGGCTGGATTCATGGCCATTTGCTGAAGCATGTTGAGTTTGAGGTGCCTTTAAAACATTCAAGGGAAGTCATATTGAACATTCCTATCTGAGGCTGGGCGGCTGGAGATATAAATCTGGCAGCAAATGGATGGTAATTTACGCTGTGGAAAGCTTCCTGAGCCTCGGAGGAAGAGTCAGTGCTTGATCTGGGGAGTGTAAATCTGCAAAAGGCGGTTGGAAGGGAGCGTCCTGAAAACCTAGCTTTTCCTCCAGGGGTGTGAGTTCCAGAAGCAGGATCAATGGTCACGTCAGATGAAAAGAATGTCCGTGGGATTTAGTGACACAAGGGGGTCATTAGTGATCTTTGCGAGAGCTGTATTTTCTTAATGCACAGACCTCATATTTCTCCACCCAGAAGTTCTTCCTTGATACATCAATTCATACCAAACAAAGTCTCTACTTTTTCACTTGGTATTTAACTCCCTTCGTGATTTAATTGAAACCTACCTGTAAAGCCTTATACTGCCCAGCAAATGAACGCATACCCGAAATGCCAGCTCTCCGTCCCTTAACTGTTTTCTTGTGATCTTTTCGCTCTTGCTGCTTTCTTCACTGCTATTAAATCTCACAGGCCGGGGGAGACCGAGACCAAACAGTACCCCGTCCACGCAAACTTCCCTGGTCACCGGCCACCGATGAACTTCAGATGTGTTCTTTTCACGTCTCAGATGATACAGCTCACAAATGAGCTTACATTCTAACTCCTTTGTCCTTGATTATGCTTATTATGAGCTCCTTGAGATTAGAGACTTGTTTCACTAATGTTATAGCTTCCAAAGCATCTAGTATTTTCTGAGTGAATGAATAAAATTTTAAAGATATACGGCACAGAACACAACCTGTGTGTCAGTCGCTGTGCTCAGTGCCTGAAGACATGGCTTCAGTTTCATGTAATCCTTATCGTAAGTGTATGAAATTGTTCTCATCTCACAGATGTGAAAACTTGTGCATTAGAGAGGCATATTTTTAAAATACATCTTTGGGCTAGGGTTTCTTAATTATATTTAAAGATAAATGAAGGTCCAAGATTTGTAAAAAGAAGGCTTAATAAATGTTAGCATCTGAAAAGAAGTGTGTACGGGTGTGCCTACCTGTACTACGTGCACGCAGAAAAAGTTTTTTTAGAGAGCCACAAGCTGATTTAAAGTAAAAATTGTTATTGTAAATCAACTATACTTCAATAAAATAAATTAAAAACAATAAATTAAAAATTGTTGAAATTTGTCATGAATTTAATGGGAACAAATAGTTTTAGATTTCTTGATATATCCTAATTGACTTTTCCATTGCTATGACTTAATTTAAATTCCTATTAAATTATCTAGAAATTGGGGTAAAGGACTAAAGCACATCTGCTCGTTCATAGTTTTCCTCACTTTTTCCTGTCGCATTGCCTGATGTGATTGGTGTGTATGGTCATGAAAGACAAATACATAAAAGTTTATTAGTGGGTGAAAAGGAGTGAAAACTTCCATTTGCCTACCAGAAAATTTCCTACTACATTTTTCTTCTGATTTTTTTCCCTTCAGTTCTTTTTAGTGTTTATTATGTGCAAGGCATTGCTGTGCTCAGTGCTGGAGAAATGCTAAGATGTATTTTAAGGAGCTTACAACCTGGTGTAGAAAGTTGCCATGCAGACAGTATCTGTAATTCAAGTGTAATAAAGTAAGTATAAGAAATATGCTATGCACAGGGAAGAACCACTGCATCAATGAAAGTTCAAGACCCTTCTGTACTAAACACAATTTGCAATGTTCTGTTACTTTTTTGTATGTTTAGAATGCTGAAAGGGTTTTGAAGTTAGATAAACAGTATTACCTTAAAAAAAAGAAATATGCTGTGGGCATGCTGAGAAGGAAATCGTTTATTCTGAGTAGCGATGGGTGCTAAGTTAGGGAAGACGTCTCATAAGTAATAGTATATTAAAATCCTTACTAACTACATATCTACATTGAGAACTAAAAGAATAACGGCTTTTCTTTTGTTTTCTTGATAGACGAAGGATGCTGTTCAAGCTTTGATTGATAAGCACCAAAGAATACCCGGAAACATTATGAGTGCTTTGCTAGAACGTTTTCATAACAAACAAAAAATCGACTAGAAGACTCTTTAATACATTTATATTAATACGTTTATGTCTGTAGGACTGTCTTCAAAATTTTGTGGGTTCTGTAATTAGTATTTTTTAAAAAATCATGTTAATAAGCATCTTTCACTGAACTCGTTTAACATTGTATTGTCAATTTTGTTTCTGCAATCCATTGTGTCAGATTTAAACAATAACTCGTTACATGCCTAATTATTCAGAAAATGATCATGGTTCTTTTTATAATTTCCTAATAATGTATCATAAACATAGACTCTTAAAGTTAAGTTTATTAATAACAGCAATGGAGGTTAAACAAACATTCCTAAATAATGCATCTAGTTTCTGTATCTCTTGCACTGAGCTAGTTTTGCAAGGTGGCATAACCTAGGGTTTAGTACAGACACTTCAGTTAGGAAAAAAAATGCTCTTTCCTCTGCCCCTCATTCCTCTCATGACCTTGGGCAAATCACATAATGTTTTTATGCCTCAACAATTCAATTTTTAAAAACATGTTAATACTTTGGTGAGGAATATTGTTTTAAATTCTTTATATTTGCTGTGATTGATAACTGTAGAACGAAATTATAACTGAATTAATTAAACAATACCAACGTCTTTTAGAAGTTTATGTATTTTGTCCATAGGATGTTTAAATTACTCCTTCAGGTATGCTGTCAAGTTGCCAAGGACAATGAAAATGATGTACTGTTTTTCAAGTTGAGTAAAAAAGAAATTAGGGAAAGTAAAATTTCTAATTATTGTTATTATTCTTTCTAGTATTTTATATATATATATATATATATATATATATTTTTTTTTTTTTTTTTTTTTTTTGCGGTACGTGGGCCTCTCACTGCTGTGGCCTCTCCCGTTGTGGAGCACAGGCTCCGGACGCGCAGGCTCAGCGGCCATGGCTCACGGGCGCAGCCGCTTCGCGACATGTGGGATCCTCCCGGACCGGGGTACGAACCCATGTCCCCTGCATAGGCAGGCAGACTCTCAGCCGCTGCGCCACCAGGGAAGCCCCCTCTAGTATTATATTTTTAATGAGACTCTGTAGACAAGCCGTACAGGGTGTGCATTCTCAGCCCTATGATATGGCATTTAATACTGTCAGGATAGAAATCACGGTTGTGCCCTGCATCTCATATGTTAGAAGCTGATTCTAGGCTGATGAAAGCACAGAGAGAAAGCTCTGCTTTTGCTCAACATCATGGCTTATTCAGCTTGACTTTGCAACCAGTCAGATGGTTTATTGTTTCAATAAAAATATACTTGAATAATGAATTTATGTGAACATGTCTTTCTGAAAAATTAATGGCTTTCGATTTGTTGTCTCCTTGAAATCTGAATTTAAAAGTATTTAAACACGATAGTACCAGGAATCAAAAGCAGTATGTCCCTCTCCCTTTTTAAGATATTAAATTACTTGGATTTTTGTATAAATTTTTGTATAACAAGTATGTATGTATGATACGTGTAATGTATATAAAATAAAGCAGCATAAAAATAAAAGAAGCTGAACTGAAGTTCATATTGTTGTGAGATTACATATGTGACATTTGCTTAGTTTAAACTGATTTTTTTTTTACTATTTATGTATTCCTCACCTACAATCATATTCATCAATCTCAGCCACAATGAATAAACCTGACTTTCCAATGTAATAAATATCTTTTAATTCCAGTTTCAACGAAAAGAGTCAACTAATGATATCTGCAGCTTTTTTTCCCTCTCTAGCAGTGAGCAGTGTTTGTTTAAAATTGATAAATATTTCCGGAATGAAGAAATAAATGATCATACTATGAACGAGAATAATATTTTTTGGAAACTATTGAGTTTAAAAAACTGTAGAAAGAAACATTCATTGCTAATGTAGCAAAAGCCATTATTTTTTACAGTATTTAAGTTTTACTGCATTACTTAAAACCTTTTTTTCTTCTTTGATGCTCAGATTAACAGGAAGACTTTCTGTCTTGTTTGATGCAAGATCTCTATCTTTGCTATTTGAATTTAAATGCCATTTAGAAGAATGAGGGAATGTGACTAAATATAGAGACATAAGTAATAATAGAAAGGAGGAGGTGTTGGGGTTTTTCTTTGTTTTGTTTTTAGTTTACCATTTTGTCTTACACTTAAAAATTTTTTTGTTTTATATTGGAGTATAGTTGATTTACAATGTTGTGTTAGTTTCAGGTGTACAGCAAAGTGAATCAGTTATACATACACATATAGCCACTGTTTTTTAGATGCTTTTCCCATACAGGTCATTACAGAGTACTGAGTAGAGTTCCCTGTGCTATACAGTAGGTCCTTGTTGATTATCTATTTTACATATTGTAGTGTGCATATTTTAATCCCAACCTCCTAATTTATCCCTCCCCCCCAACCTTTCCCCTTTGGTAACCATACATTTGTTTTCTATGTCTGTGAGTCTGTTTCTGTTTTGTAAATAAATTCATTTGTATCAGTTTTTTAGATTCCACATATAAGTGGTATTATATGATATTTGTCTTTCTCTGTCTGACTTACTTCACTTAGTATGGTAACTTCTAGGTCCATCCATGTTGCACAAGTGGCATTATTTCATCCTTTTTTATGGCTGAGTAATATTCCATTGTGTATATGTACCACATCTTCTTTATCCATTCATCTGCTGATGGACACTTAGGTCGCTTCCATTTCTTATTGTAAATAGTGAACACTGGGAAGTGCATATCTTTTCAAATTGTGGTTTTCAAGGAGGGGGTGTTTTTCATGCTTTTTGAAACATGAGTCCTCAAGTCAGAACCTGATGAAAGCCAGGGACTCCCTCCAGAAGCATGAACTTGGTCCACTTTTATGGGAAATCTTTCATACCCTTTCAAAAAAACTTTCATTTTGAAACAATTACAAATCTACCAAAAAGTTGCAATTATTGTGCACAGTACTCCATATACTTTCACCCAGATTCCCCAACTGTTACGGCACATTTGTTTTATTATCTTCATACGTCCTCTCTCTCTCTCTCTCTCTCTCTCTTTCTTTCTCTCTGTCCTCTCTTTCCTCCCTCCCCACATATATATCTATAAAGTTTTCTCCTGAATCGTCTGATGGTAAATGCAGATACCGTGCCCCTTCCTATGTGGCCGTCCATTTACGGAACCACAGAGCAATGATCAAAATCAGGACGTTTGTCATTGAGATAATAGTATTATCTGATCTAATGACCGGATTCAAATTTCACCAGTTGTCTCAATAATATCCTTCGCATCAATTTCTCCTCCTGATGCACGGTTCATAACAGGACCACACACTGCATTTAGTTTTCCTACGTGTTTAATCACCTTTCATCTGGGATGATTCCCCAGCCCTACTTTGTCTTTAATGATACTGACATTTTTGGAGAAGACAGACTATCTGTTCTGTAGCCATCTCTTCAATCTGTTTTTCCCTGATGTTCCGTCATGATTTGATTCAGGTTATGCATTATTCCAGAAATGCTACATAAATGATGCTGTGCTCTTTCCAGTGGGTCATATCAGGAGGCATAGAATGTTGGTTTGTGTCATTAGTAATCATAGTAACTTGATCACTTGGTTAAAGTGACGCCCACCAGGTTTCTTCCCTGTAAAGTTATTATTTCCTTTGTAATAAATACGTTTATGGAGAGAATATGTAAATATCTGTTCCTCATCAAACTTTCACCCACTAGTTTTAGCATCTTTGAACTGAGTATTGCCGGGATAAATTCTTACTCCGAGGGTTTCAACGTGTGAAACCCTATTATTATTATTCTATTATTCTACGTTTATGAGTTGGCATCCTATTGTAAGAAGAAACTTCCCAATTTCCACCCCCCCCACACACACCCCAAACACTCAACCTATCATCTGAGGTTCATATTTTGTTTAAAGGATAATGCATATATACTCTTAAGTGATTTAAATATGAGACCCTTTGACATTTTAAGAACCATTGAAATAATAGACATTTACAGGGTTAACTTGCATGTGTTTTTGTATTTATGTATATGATTCCTATTTTTAAAATATATTTTTGTTACTTTTTTATTGGGCAGATATACATACCACGATTTACAATCTTAACCCTTTTTAAGTGTACAATTCACTGGCATTAAGTACATTCACAATATGGTGGAGCCATCACCACTGTCCATTTGCAGAGCTTCTTCACCATCCCAAGCAGAAACTCTGCACCCATTAAACAATAACTGTCCATTCACCTCTCCCTCGTTTCCTGGTAAACTCTATTCGACTTCCTGTTTCTATGAATTTGCCCACTCTAAGTACCTTATATAAATGGAATCACAGTATCTGTCTTTTTGTGTCTGGCTTATTTCACTTAACATAAATATCTGAGCTCTTTCCTGACACCAAATGACATAGTTCCAACGCCAGTTCTCTGACGTCAGCTGGGTGTCCTCCAATTCCATTCAAGTCTGACAGTACTGGAGTCAACACAGACCCTATAGGCTAAGGGCTCAGTCCCACAAGACTGCCCCTACTTCAGATGCCAGCTGCCAGTGGGGCCCCCAGGCCACTCCCACTTCCGCCTGGCCTACTACAGAGTTGGAGGTTCCCACGACATCCCCTCAGGTGGCATAATTCCATAGAACAACTCAGAACTCAGGAAAATGCTGTACTAAAAATTTTATTATCAAAGATTCAACCCAGGAACAGCCAAATGGAAGAGGGCAAGCTACAGGGGGCGGGGCGCAGAGCTTCCACACCCCCTCTGGGTGCACTGCCTGCCCAGCATGTCCAAGTGTTCACCAACCCAGAAGCCTTCGCAAACCTCGCAGTGATCACCAGTGGTGGTTGAACTACATCTCTAACCCGTCTCTGTTCCCTGGACGTTGAGCGTGGGGCTGAAAGTTGTAACCCTCTAATCACACAGTTAGTTTTTCTGGTAACCAGCTCCCACCCTGAAGCTCTTTAGCCACCCCCGGCGCCCCCCACCCCCACCCCCGACCAGGAGTCATATATTGTTAATATTAAGAATCAGCAAATTAAGAGTCATAGCACTGACCGCTGTGCCCTTGGTTCCTTGAAGAATACTTACCACATTATAAACAGTTACTGAATAAATGAACAAAGTGTATGAGAAGACTAAAATATTTTCTTGGGATAAAAGAAATCATGTGACTGACTTCATATAAAAAAGCAATTTAATCGATTTGTAAAAACTCACCATTGTGTTGAAATCCCAAGTTCTACTAGCTAGAATATTAGAATCAGTTCAAAAATAGTTAGCTCTATTGATTAATCAAAATAACTTGATGCTCTACAGATCAATGTTCTGAGCTGCACTAACCCTAGAATGGAGACAGCAAACAAAGCGTCTCTGTGAAATGTATTGCATCGAGTTTCCTGCAAATCGAATCTAGGAATTGCTCATTTTCATCGATTGGTACTACCATCATGAAATGCTACAAAGAGGTTTCTTTTAAGTGTTCCGGGATACAATTAAATGGATTTTGTGAGACCTGTGTGGGATAACTTTTGGAAAAGAACAGTGTATTTTGTGTGCGTTAAAGACTGAAAAAGAATAATTGGCGTTAGATTTAGGCGAGTGTGGTATTGATTAAGTTTCTTGAGCCTCGAGGTGATGAGGTACTATAATAGGCTGGACAGGGAGGTGGTGAAGCCCAGAGAGATTGTTCTTTTTTAAGATAATACTACATAAAAGGCACATTCCATCCATTTTCTC